TGCCCTGCCTTCTGTGAGCCTGCTCTGAAGCTGAAGCCTCTAAAAAGCCATGCTAAGCGTTGGAATGCTAACTCAAACTGCTGTGTTTTTTTAACAAAATCTTTGCTGCTGTGTGTACAAATAACATGATGTCAACTGACATGTATTAGAATTTCATAGATTTTGGAGTATGTAGTTCCCATGTTTCTGCCCATATATTAAAATGCGTACAAAATGGGATTAATCCTCATAAATTAAATAAGAATCTAGTGTTGTTAAGTTTGTCTCAGACCAGACCAGTGTAATACAGCCTTTCTAATCAGACGTGCTATATTTAGAAGTTTTGGTGCCAGAGAAATTAATGCTCCAGAGCCAAAATGCTGTTTAATGCTAAAGGTTTTCCATTTCACTATTATTTTTTTCCCGTTGTGGTTCCTTTTTACCTCGCACGTAGGCGTCAGTGACTTTATATATTTTTAGAGCTCAGTAAAGGCCACCAGAAAAAGCAAGAACATCACAGTTCCATTCATTCTATTTTTTTGTGGATGTTCTTTTCAGATGGGCAGAGGTTCTCTCCACACTCCCCAGATTTCTTCCCTGCAGTCACAAATGTGTAGATTAATGATAAGGTTGTTTGGAGGCTCTGGTTGTTTGTCTGTGTATGTGTGTGTCCCTGTGATTGAGTGGGTGTAGCCCACCTTTGGCCAAATGTCAGCTGGGACTGGCTCCTCCTGAGACTGAACGGGGGAAAGTTTTTACACATATACATATTAATGAATGATTTAAATAACTTCAGTCAGAGTTGTTGCCCAATACAGATACAGAAGCCAATGAATGAACTGAAAAAATAATAATTTTCCAGGATATTAGCTGTGACGTTTCAGCATTTATACATGTTAAAGTACTGCAAAAGTCTTAGGCAGTTATGAAAAAAAGTTGAATTATAATATATATATATACACATATACATATATAAATATATATATAACAATGTCGGACTGATTATACCATATATTGATTAAATAAATAGTTGTTTATTTAATCAATTTTGTAATAAGGCAGTTTAACTCTTTACTCTCATTTTATAGGTTTTATACAATGATTTTAAATACTTATATACATATGTATGTTTGTATATATAGATATGTATGTATGTATGTGTATATATATATATGTTTTTACATATACAGTTTGTAATGATGTGTGTATATATAGACACTTGTGTGTCATATATTTCATTGCATTACTTGCTAACATTCTGCAGTGTATTTTGTTGCGTAAGGGGTTTGTGTACAGAAACTTCCCAAAACTTTTCGCTCTAAACTATCTAAGCGCCGAGGTGGTCAAAGGGTGACTTAAATCACCGCCCTGGAGATAAAATTCAAAACCAATCAGAGCTGATCCCATTCATATCCATTATACCCTGAACTGGATCGATCGTGACAAGGTCTGCAGCTCATCGCTCTGGGGCTGTCAACAGGGGCTAGCCCTAATCTATAGGAAAATGGCTGGCCACCAGCGCAGGCTGGAGGAGGAATGTATAAATGAAATATGGATGTTTATCAAGCTGGATGAGATTTATTTAGATGTGTGAGATTTAGGGTTTGATGTTACTCTCAGAGCTCGATGTGAACCAGGAGTTCATCAGACAGGAGTATGTGTGTGTGTGTGTGTGTGTGTGTGTGCGTGCTTATGTGTGCGAAATATGTGTTGGCTTGCATTACCAGCCTAAGAGGTGTTTTAAATGTTTTTTCTTTTTTCCCATATTTAAACCGTGTTGCCTCTGCGCCCCTTGAGCCTTTCCAAACCCCTGGGTGGTCGATATGGCCTAGTTTTGAAATTTCCTGCAGCTCACAGAGATGCACACTAACAACTACAGATACAATGCACCGTCAGCCTAACTCCCTGTACTCTGGCACACCGACAACAGTGCAGGCCTTTTAAATGAATTGAAACGACACGTATGAAGGGGCTTTGTTGTTTCTAATTCAACATCTGTGGGGACACGGGAATTTAAAGGGAGTAGGAGACGATTAAGGAAGGAAGGAAGGTGCTTGAAAATGAGCTGGTTGATAAGGGAGGAAAGAGGGAGAGAGGAGGTGCTGGAAGTATAATAATGTATCCCTGTGTATGGAGCTGGGCCAAGACACATGCTGTGAATAATATGTGGTGGTGGTTTTTTTTTTTTTTTTTGCTGAGACAGTTCAAGCAGCATTAAAAATATAATTCCAAATATGTCCCAGTGTCTGCCGTACTTTAACGACGACAGCCTTGGGAATGGATAATTAAGACAGAGCAGTTTTCCTCGTATACTTTAACACATTTCCAATGGCTCATATTCAATGTTAATGTAAAGGAAATTGATATCAGGAAGTCATTGGCTTTATTGGTGTTGTAGATGGGTACACACAGCTCTGTACTTACAGCGGAGGAAAAACGCTGCCGTAAATCTAAAAGAAACGCAACATAAACTATGTCACATTCAGAATGGGAGCTTAGTAACCTCAGCAGTAATAGCTCTGCTTTCCTTTTTTTTTTTTCAAATATAATTCCAGCCTCCAAGGTCTGCAATTTTTTTCACACAAACAGCAAAGCCTGTGCTCCCAGGCTAGGTGAACCTGCATACAAAACACCAGACGATGAATTCCCCCCTCTTTATTTAGGCGAATCGTAGAACAGAATACAGACGTACTGATGGATACAGGTAACAGCAGGTGCAAAGGAATAAGATTTCTCACCCTGAAATCCACCTTCAGACCTGAAGCTACTCAAGTGTTCAGTCCCTGTGTCTTAGAGATGATCTGAAGTTAATGCGGCTTTTCCAAAGGAAATATGAAACTTTAAATCCACAGAGCAGAGGCTCTACAGTAGTTAGCCTCTGACCTTCACTGTGACTTTCCAGCGTCTGTCCTTTCAAGGACAATGGAAAACAGAGTGATTGATTTCATAATTATCCAAATGACCAGTTGACTCATTGATTCTCATGTAGTAAGGTGTCTTTTTACATTGACTGTCAAAGTAAATATTTGCACTCAGTTAGAGTTGGGTTACAGTACAAACCCACTGAGGATTGTATACACTCATGGTACCATTACAGATCAATGTTTCTGAGTTAGCATAATGCTAGAGATATAGCAAGAGCATTGTCAAAGTCTAGGAATAGTCTTATTGTCAGGATTGGTTCAACTGTGGCCAAAATTACAGGATTGTCTTATGGACCAGTTTAGATTAGTGTTTTGACAGTTTGGATCCTCGGGCTCAAATATTACATAAATACATAACTATGGAAGCCATGCTGTAAACACAGAGGCTGCTGTTGCAGCAGGTGGGATGTACCCACTAGCTGAGATTGTGTGACAGGTGATTAGCCTAGCATTGTTATCGTGTCAATAAATCGAGTTAATAAACTGTCAGCATTTGTAGCATATTGTACATTTTCTAGTAAAGCTGCTATTATTCATAAATAATGTTATAATAAATGTATGGTCTACAGCTGCCGCAACAATGCTGTTTTATTCAAATTCAGGGATGCAGTGATTATTTTTCCCTGACATAATAATTTATAGTCCTCAATAATCAGTTCGAGGCATATGTGGAGTGTTTAAAAGATGCTGCTGAGTCGGTTTGACTGATAAAAATGTAATTAAAAGCACTGTGAGTTTAAAGTTTTAATAAAAATCAGCTGCATTATTGAATGACTCCAGTCAGGTTGGATATTTTATAGCTTCCTGTAAGGGAATATTTGTGGCTGTCAGTACTAGACATGAAAAAGCTGACACAAACACATACAATCTCTGATCATTTTGTTTTTCATACTCTACCACATACTGCGTATAGAACTAACGATACGTTTCAGACATTTGGATGCACTGACAACAGGTCAGAAATAAAACCTCAGCTACGTCACTGACTGTTGGCTCATGTACACTTCCTTTATTTTAAAGCAGCGCCAGCACACACACACACACACACACATCACAGCCTGCCACTGTTTAACATTTATACTTATGTGGTTCCATAGTGTAGAAGTTAGCACGCCTGCCTGCCGGAAGATGAGAGCCGAGAGTCCTGGGTTCGATTCCCATACGGCAAGTAAAAAAAGAGTCAAGAGCAAAATGAAATCAATAGTGACATCTAGTTGTGGGCCAGATTTGAGGGGTCCTTGGGGTGGAAGTGGACTGTGGGCCAGGTGTTTGAAATCTGATATAAGGTAAACTTTAACAGCAGAGGGTGTTTAGACATTAGTGCTGAGTGTAGAAGCCTTGTGTGGTTTTCATGATGGAGCTGAGGAGAGCAGCATCACCGGTCCAACCACAGGACCCTGAACCTGATATTGGTGACATACCAGGATCTTGTTTTTTTAGTTGCTGTAAATCTTTTTATTAATTCTATTATGTCTTTGGATTCTTTAAGTGTCATATTTTTTTTTTTCTTGTTTGTGTACAGCACTTTGGCCAACTGTGTAGTTTTAAAGGGTTAGATTGATCAATATTGCAGAAATCAAATTATCTGAATTATAACTAATAGAATTGTTTTGGTGGATAATTAGTTTAATTATATAAATAATACTTTTTTAAAAAATTGAATTTCCAAAGCTTTAAAAAGAAGGACACCAATTTGACTGGTACATTTAATTTGAGTGAATGTAACTAAGTATTTGGAAATGACCGGCCTCAGCCAGAGCAGCAGGTATTTGTGACACCTGCTGCTCAGAGTCTTCAGCACTTCTGTTCCAGCCACCTCTGTGTTTCAGCCTGCAGGTCGCTTCAAGTATCAGAGCTGGGAGAATTAGAGCAGTGTTGAATGGAAACTGTTCACATCTGAAATCGTTTTGTTTGAGCCTTAACTCATGGATCATTCACTCTGTCGTTTTTACTCATTCACAGGTTTTGATGCAAAATATTTACATGTTATAAATTGATTAAATAAGATATTGAGATGTTCAATTCACAAATTGATTAAATAAGATATTGAGATGTTTTCTTTAGAAATAAAAATTGTTAGATTAAATAAAAAAACAAAATAACAGCAGCAATTCTCCCTGACTGTGATGAAAAAAAAGTGTAAAAGAATAAATATTAAACCTACATGTAATCCACTGGCCTTCATTTCCCAGTGATACTGTAAGAGTACTGCAAGAGTGCAGTAACTTTTGACCAGAGTACAGTTGTCGGCACCATTTCAGATTCATAATCCTGCCTCTGGGAGGTGATGACTTTCAGTCACAGCTGCATTGTGTTTTGGATAAGTGTAGTCCAGGGTGAGATGTGGACATTTTTGGCCCAAATAAAATATGTCACATATTTTTTCAGGTGTTTTCATTTACGGTGATGAGATTTTGTTTTTCCTGGAAAACTATTTCCCTTAGCAAAAATATAGTAAATAAATTACCCATGTGTTTCTCTGCAGAGCCAGTATATAAATGCTGGCTGTATAAGAAAGAGTAGATCTAAAAATAGATAGGCATGTGTGTTTGTGTGTTTGTGTGGATATAGCTGTGGGGACATTTTTTGATAAATACTATTATTGCGGGGACACTTTGTCTTCATGGGGACATTTTGAATGTCAGACTGGCAAGAGGTTAAAGGTGAAACCTGGAGTTAGGATTAAGGGTTTAGATTGCTTATTAGCTATACATTAACTTCACTAGTTAGGTTAAACTAACTTAACTGTTTGTTAAGTTAGTTGGTTCTATTATAGGGCTAGATAAGACATAAACGTGTGTCCGTGTGTCCTTTTGTGTATGTTTGTGTGTGTATGTTTGTGCGTGCGTGTGTCAGGTGCTCCGTAAGTAGTCCGCTCGTCTTATCTTGACCTACTTGAATAACTTTTTGGTGTTTTTTCCTCTAAATTTCGTGTATCTTCCTCACTGCTGCACCCCTCTTAACCCCCCCCCCCCCTCTCTCTCTCTTCCGCTTTCTCTCTCTCTCTCCCACTCCCTCTCTCTCCCCTCTGGAGCTTATCTCGGTGCGCATCGTCAGCATCAGTTTGAAGTCAATCTGACAGCCGCTGCCTTGCCCACTTCTTTATCCCGTCACTCTGGTGGTCACTCGGTCTCGTTTAAGAGGTTCATCTCCGGACAAGTCATCTTAACGTGAGTAATTATTCATGTACTTTCTGGGACGTGAGTCTATGTGTGTCTGTCTGTGTGTGTGTGATGGTGGGACCGATGTCGATTGCCGCCTAAGTGAGCGCGTCTGTGGACAAATGTGATGATCTTTTATTTTTCTCCCTCTTTCTCGGTGTGATGTTGAATTTTTCTCCCCTCTCCAGTTCACTCGGGACTGTGGGAGCGCGTCCGCCCGCTGCCTTCAACTTGCGGTAAAGAAAGACACGGGAAACTCCTCGGGATTCTCCGCACACCCAGCTCTCATCCGGACCTTCTGGTGAGCTCACTTTGGCCGAGACTCTGACTTGGTCCAAGTCCGCTGCACTTCACACAGCTGAACATCTACGGCTCACAAACTGCACCACAGTAAACACTTATTTGCAGCGTGGAATCGTCCCGTCGACTTGTTTTTGCAGCGTAGAAATAAGAATGTTATGAATGTGTGATGCAACGAGATGCAGGAGGCAGGTGAATCACTCATCTTTTCCTAAAATAGTTTTTGTCCCATGGCTGCACAGCTTTTGCCCATTATGCATGGGAATTAAACATAGTTATTGCGACAATTACCAACCTGTATTCCCCTCACGCAGGGGTGGAGATAGTAAAATACAGCCAGGCTTTGCTGAGGAGGTGGAGGAGGTGGAGAGGGGGGAGAAATGAGGTGAGGAGGAGAAGAAGAAATAGAGAAACATTTTAGGAATCCCTCAGGGAAGCTTTCAACCTTTTATGGCATGGACTTTATTAGTCTTTTATTCCTCTACAATGATGACACTGTCTGATATCTGCTCTAAAACCTCTAGTTAATATGCTATTATCACCAGGGCCGTTACCTCACCCACATTAGGGGCTATATGTAGATTGTGACATCCTACAGTAAGGCTGGCTGTACTGTAGGCAGGAGTCCACTGGGCCTTTTGATGCTTTTATTGTCCTGTTTATCAATTAAGCTTGTCTATAATAGAGATCTCACACATCCTCCAAAAAGAAAAAAAACAACATTACTCTCCCACACACCAGCCGTTAGCATCGCACCTCCTACATAGCCACACATGCTGTCCTCGGCCGATTATCTTGTTATGTGCCACCATTTGGTCTAATTGAGATTCCCAGCTTAATGTAACGACAAGTCGATCTGTGCGTGCACGGACAATCGAAGGACCGCTCGAAGGCTCCTGAGCGGTGTCATCAAGGGCGGATGGAGGGGCCGTAAAGACACAACGGACATGACACAGTGCCCGTGGAGGTTGTCTGGGTAGTTTGCTGTCGGGTTTCATCGCCCGCGTACAGTATTGGGCCGTCATTGTCAAGTATGAGTTCTTATACATTTGTGGTAGGGACTGTGTGGTTACTCGTGTGTGTGTGTGTGTGCAAGCTAGGAATAAATGAGCAAAAAGCAGAGAGGGGACACAGAGAGAGCATGAGACAGACTATTCTATCTGGAACTTGGAGGAAACAGAAAATCTATGTAAGCAGTTTTTTTCTCTTAGCGTATATATTTATATATTTAGCTGTCAGGGCCTCCTCTGACACACAGTGGGCTGTTCAGGATGTGACATGCTCGCCACCAGCAGCAGGTTTGTGCCAAGGAAGGACACGGTATATTTAAACTTAACCGTATAACTTCATAACGAACAAGGGGAGGCTAAGAGGAATGACTCAGTCAGGCCCAGTGACTTAAACGAAACGGGAACGTTGCATAATTCACATGACAAGAGAGGAAAACTGCCAGACAACAGTTGAGGGTCCGTTCTGCCACGTCTCCTGTTAGCCAAGCGTGGCCCAAAATCTGTTGTCGAAGAGCAAAAATGGAAATGGCTCTAAAGAGATGTCAGCAGATGAGTGGTGGATGTTTGACTCAATTTAATCAGAGTTCATGTTTCTACGGCGATATTTAAAGGAAAAAGTGATCACATATCTGAGGAGATTTGTTTCACGGGGAGAGGGTCCCCTGTCACCCCTCCTCCTTTTAGCTCCTGTGCTTTCCTTGGATGGGTTTGGAGCTGGGGATTCACACACATGCTCTGGGAGAGAATTTGAATCTTGTATGGTCGTGGCCAGCCAATCGTGCTACGAACCAATCATTTAGCCTCGGTGACCCCCATCAGCTTTTTTTGTCAGGTGAAAATGAGATGATGTATTCTCAGATGATGATATCCCGACGCGGTGGCGCTGGTGGCAGTCAAAACGACATCGGTGATAATGTGGTACTGATGAAGATTTCTTTGAGATACTAACAGTTATTGGAGATAATACAAGTTATCATCAGTGCTGGGGCTGTGATGCATTTCTTAGATTACGATGGAGTGTCAGTTGATTAAATTTATGCTGAGATTCATCTTATAAAGGACAAGGATTTTTTTTTTCAAGTGAGCTTTTATGTTTGAAAATGCTCAGAATTGATGGATATTAAAGTAGAGCAAACACCAGGTTGGAGTGCTCAAACAGACGCGTTGAGTATCACTCCACAAAGTCCAAGGATAAATGTACTTGAACGATGAAGTAGAAGAGTCAGTACGTATGCAGTACTAATGACACAGGAATACAAATGCAGTGATAAAGCCAGGCCTTCACATCTCTTCTCGTTATAGATAATTAAGATAATTAGAGATTTTTTTTTTTTTTTTCTCACAAACCTTCTAATTGCATCGTGAACCCACCATACTCTACATGGCCTTGGGTTTAAACATGTACATAAACAACTCAAGTGCGCATGAACTGCACACACACACACACACACACACACACACACACACACACACACACTGACACACATACCAACATAGAGAGACAGACATTCAGGGTTTTTAGCAGGGACAGCCCTGACATGTAGGGACGACTAGTTAGCTGCACCACAACCTTCTGACAACGGTTCCAAATGTAACTGAGCCCAAAATTAATTGTCTGTGAGAGAGAGAGAGAGAGAGAGAGAGAGAGAGAGAGAGAGAGATGAAAACACACACACACACACACTCTGTCTCTACCTCCTCT